GCAGGATTTGAGATTAAATCCTTACTTAGGACAGAATCAAAAGAGGCTTCTTCTGAGTGGCTGTTCACCTCTCTTTTCTGGGGGGGTTTCTCTGTGGTGGGTGTCCTGCAGGAGGGTTTGTTCCCAATAACCCATCCTTTCAGAATGAAGCAGCTCCATGCTAAGGTTTTGCCACCAAGGGCAACCCACTGGAGTAGATATTACCATGACCTAGTTTCCAAGTTGTAAAGGCACAAATCGTGAGCTGTAGGCCAGATTTGGAAAGAAGAGCCCTTAGATGCTTTGCTAGATGGACCTCAGATCAAGCATTGAAGCTGCAATATCCAAAGCAAGATTCATATATATTTACTGTATATATAAGGTTTGGAGAATTTTTGAAACATCTTCAAAACTCTTCTCACAATACTCAGCAATGTTTCATCCCAAAACTGTGATTGCTCCCCAAAAGCTGGGATGAGGAATAAAGAAGTTAGTGATACAAAAACAGGTGAAACATGCATGATAGCCTGGAGGAAAACCATGGAGGAGGATTTCTTGAAATCCTTCCCACTTTGGGGCTGAGTTACTCTTTGTCAACCTTTGAGCCCTTTTATAATAAGCAAATTATTTTGCCTGATTTTTCAGTGGAGCTGCACCAAGCATAGTGAAAGAAGTTGCAGCATTCACCAGCAGCCAAGCAGACTGTCTTAGAAAGACAATTTCCAGCACACTGAAATTGAACTCCGCATCCAGGTATGTTAGAATCAAATATGTTACGTCAAACTGTTCTCTGGAGAGAGGTTAACTGGGTAGCCGAAATGCTGATGCAGTGCCTGACAATTGGAAGGATGCCTTTCTTATTCTGCCACATTGAAGAAAAGGTCACAAGACTACATGGGAATTAGTTTCTTAAGGATAACCGGCAAGGGGTTTGGCAGAGTTCGGATCAAAAAGGCATGGGAGGTGACAATGAGAAAAATTGGGAAGTGCAATACAGCTTTATGCTAGGCAGGGAGGGTGCAGATTAGATTTGCTCTTCAGGAGGTCATAACCAAATGTACAAAAGGGAGAAAGAAAGTTTATTGTGAGTTGGAGGCATATTATAGCTTCAGTTATGGAATGTTTTGCACAGATACAGTGAAGGTTGGCTGCTGAATGCAGTAAGGGTGGAATGTGAGTAAGGCATATGTGAGATAAATGGAATGCTTAACACATGGTTCAATATTGAGGAGGGATTAAAACTAAAGGGTGTAATGTTCCCTTGATTCTATAATGTATTTATGGATAACCATATAAGAATGCTTATTTTGACAGAGGTGTGTTAACTGAAGATACAAATACTTCGGATATAGATGATGCCTTGTAGCTGGGGAAGAGAAATTCCAAATTGTTTGCAGTGAGTGTTAGATAAAGTGCGTGATACAATGAGGACTATGGACTTGAAATATAATATTACAAAGATCAAGGAAGTGTGAGACAGGAGTAATAGAAAGAACAATCGCAGGATACATAGAACTGGTGAACATTAGAGCAAGAAGACAACCCTTTGAACCTCGATAGAATGCCTCCTAAAGATGGGGAAATGGACAAAGAAATTTTGAAATGTGCAAATCCTGCTAGAAAGATAATTGATTGTATGTGGTTGCAAGAATGAATGCTTGTCAAAAGAAGTGAAAATGGGTGAGTATATGAGTGTGCTCCTTCCTACTTTGTATTATAAGGGACAGCTGGGTGTGTAGAGAAATGGTATGTTGAATGCAGTGGGAATGGAGTGCTGAAGAAGCAAGCAGACGTGATCAAACAAGAGGAAAGTGGGTCAGCACTAAATGCATGAAGACTGAATATGGATTGATGAAAAAGTGAGCGAACCATTCCAAAGAAGTACACAGAGATGGTTTGAACATGAGGAGAGGACAAATAAGAATCAAACTTCCAAACAAACATAGAAGGGAAAAGTGAATGGGTGGAGAAGGGGAGGACTGAGAATGTGGGGGCTGTATGGAATTGATGAGATCCTCAGAAAGAGGCATGAGAAGTTTAAAGAATAAAAGGCAATGGAGGGACATGGTAGAAGCAAGGATAGTTTGCAAGGGTAAAAGCATAGAGAGGTATAGTGAATGATGTTGGCATTAAGCAGTTTTAGCTTTCTTAAAAAAACCTCATGTCTTTAATTTAATTGGTTTGCTTATTTCTTATTCCTTTTCTGTACTTTGCATAATGTTGCTTCTCCTCAAAGAGAATAACATGGTATGTGTATATACATGAGATCCTGTATGGGGTTGGGATATTACATGCCATTCTCCCCTTCATGAATATATTGAAGTGAAATCTATTAGTAAAGATGCTCCTAGGGATGCTACACCACACAAGGAGAAAATAAAGAGATGTGCAGAAGGAACAAATGGCTCAATGAATCAAAGTGGAAACGTTGAATTGGAGACGTTTGCTTGCATGTAACTAACGTAGTTGTATTTGCATTTAGAAGAACAATGATGGGTGATTTATTCTGGCATCTACAATGAAGAAATTATGTTCAGACCAGTTTGCACTGCATACTGGAAAGATAAGATAAAAGGATTCATCAATTCTTGTGAATGTATGTGTTCTTCTTTTTATGGAGATTTCAGGTTTTAATTGGCATTTATGGAATTAATTAAACCCATCTTAAAATATGGGCTTTTTACTCTCTAAATTCTGTGAAAGGAATATTCATATGGTAAGTCAGATATAGTGCTTAATTAAAGTGTCAATCATTTGGGGAAATGATTGTGCGGTGGTTACACTGTTCTAAATGGGAATTCAGGAAACCAAAAAAACAAATCTTTCATTCAAATGGAGGATGTCACAAGAATGAAAATTTGAGGGGCAGTGAATATGAAGGAGCAATGAAATAGGAATAGCTAATTAGGAGGAAAGAAATACTTGACTTCAAGGTTGCATTGTCTGTGTAGAGCAGGGAGCCTGTGGCATGCCTCCTGGAGCCACCCATTTTCAATAATGATCACCAGTCTCCAGCCTTCTCTTTTTAGAGAAGATTATTGGCCAGCTGGTGGGAATCTAGCTGCAGAGGGCCCCAGGAAAGAAGATAATCAAGTCACTTTCTAGACAGGATTCAGGCCTGGGCTATGACTGTAACTATACTGCCCTTTATTGATTTATGGTCAAAAATTAAAAAATTAAGGGAAAAAGTAATAATAAAACAATAAAACAAATGCATACACAGCAAAATAAGGAGTATGGTGAAGGGAGATTGGAGAAGATGATCCAGTATCCACACTGTACTAGGCTAAGCCCAGAACCGTCTAATGGCGAGAGTGATTGAGCAGAATTTGGCAGCATTGCTGGAAATCTTCAATTCAAAGTCTGAAAGTAGGAGACAAACCATTTCAATTTCTGGCCAACTGATCCAGCCAGTAAAAAGCAGATATATAAGGGCTGCACACTAATTCTCATGAAGAGGGCCATGGAGTAAAATGTAAGCAACCTACTCAATAGTGGACTTTGAGCAAATATAAAAACACTCCAAATAGGGGGATATTGTTAAATTTTCCCTCTGTCAGCAGACATGGTGAGGAATTAGGTTTTGCTAGGGTGAATCTCTTCCATGTATGACAGAAGGGATGTTATGAAGGTGAACAAAAGAGTTGTAAAGGAGATCCTTGAAGAAATAAGGAGGGCTCTATTATTCAGATCATCCTGATGAAAGATTCTTTGTCGAACTACTTGGAGAGTTCTATTAGGGCCAAGTGATACTAAAACGGAGTAGAGAAGCTGGAGAAAGAAAGATCTTAACATTTTTTCCAAGAGGAAACAAAGTTGTCAACAATGATAAATGAGACCAGTGATGGGTCCCCAAAGGGCTGAATTAGCCAGTGCTGTTGGTGACAACTTTTCAAAGAAGCAGGTGAGGTAGAATGGGGGATTCATAATAAAATTCTAAATAATTTGATTGAATAGTTTTGAGATGGGAAGTGTTGCAATAAGGGTGGAATTGGGTGCCAAACAGCAAAAGACCTCATCCGTTAGCATTACATAATTTAATAGCAACTGAGAATGAGATATTTCTGTTAAGCTGGAGGATATAATGAATGCATTGGTAGCCTTTTGGGCCTGAAGAATGTTGGAGAAAAACCTGGAAGAGGGAACTCCTGAATTTCCATCCCCTTCGTGACTTACCATTATTTTCTCCCTTCTCAAGATGAAGTTCACTTTGCCTACTCAAGCAGGACACTAGGGTACTTTAGTTGCCAAAATGTATTACAGGTTTGCAAAGCCAGATCAAGCAAACATAGACATGTTCAGCAACATTTCATGGGCAAGATCCCTGAACAAAGGCAAATCAAATAGCCACTAATGTGTAGGAATATGATTGTTTACAAAGAAAACCCAAAGACTAAGTAAGTGGGTCTGACTTGTGCTGTGCAAAACTTTCCACTAGGTCTAACATTCAAGCCTACGTCTTCTTGCATCTGACTCTGAGAGTCTAATACAATGAAGAAACTACTCCCTCTTGAACCCTACTTGCTAGCTAAATAGTTCCTACTACAGTTTGTTCTCTATGTGCAGGAGCTCCAGACTAAAATGCTTATTAATATTAAAATTGGTGAAGTTCTTCCACAGCAGAACCTCCATGAGTCTGACATGTCTGGCAAGTGGACCCCTAGATATTTCAAGGTCTTCACACTCTCAGTTGGAACAGGTGATGGTCCGTTTACGCTAAGAGGGTCTCTCAGTAGAAAGGAGCACATTGTTTTACAGTCGTTTAAGCTATGCAGGGATGATCACATTTCGCTCTCTCGCTCTCTCCTATATACAGTTTGGTCATGTAACATAAAGCTTCACAAAACTCTGCTTACAGTGATACCTCTAGTTACGAACTTAATCTGTTCCGTGACTCTGGTCGCAACTTGAGTTGGTCGCAAC